GTGTACAAACGCTAAAAAAGAAATCAGGAAGAGATTGATAGGGCATTCCAAACCAGGTTAATATCCCAATAAACATGGAAAACACATTCATTAAAATGATAGGAACCTGGTCTAGGGGAAATATTCCCTTCCCATGGCAGGAGGTACCTTGTTTTACTAGAAATTACAGGGTTCTAACCCAACCCATTTTATGCCAATATAAAATGGATATACAGTTATTTGTTGATATGGTAAAAGTAACATCAACAAAAGGAGAATTTATCTGAGGGAGTTTAAAAACATTAAGGAAACTGCCACATTGCTTCGGAATAATGAACAATAATTAGTGCTCGATGCACACACAGGCCAAGGAAAATATTTAAATGTAAAATGGAGAATATTACACAAATTTGAATCTTCCTCACCTGATTTTAGAGTTTTGAGTGAAATAACAAGAGGTAACAGATTGAAAATGAATCATGCCTGAACTGCAGCATTGCTGGTGCTCAGTTCATTCCCAGTCCTGTCTCCAGGGCTGAGATCTCTGATGTGTCACCCAGAGGGATCAGGACTCACCTTGTTCATGGTGTCTGCGTTCTGGAAAAAAATTCACAATTCAGTTTCAAAAACAAAATAGCATTTCAGTTAAGCACACCTGGGTAATAAAACTATTCAAGTCCCTAAACAATATTGTTGATTTTCAGGCAACTTAAACATTTTCAGCCCAGCTCTACATTTACTAGAAAATAAAAAGCTGCAGATTTCAAAGACTGTGTAATTTTATTGTAGATGCTTGGAAAATAGAAATCATTTAGGGAAAGCTAAGCAAAACTAGTTATTTCCACACCTTGCTGTATAAATTATTTCTAATTTATGGAGGATAATATATTTCAATAGCCCAATTAGATATCCAGGAGTCAATTTCTGGAACAACTCTGATTTCAGCATGGGAACAGACCATTTGTGAAAATAACAACCTGACAATGTTTTAATATTAACTAAAAGTCAGGGATGACAAAAGCATACTTGTCAGAAGTACAATTTAATTGTCTCAGATTTCAGTTGCACTCACCTCACTGTAGTTCACTCGGTTCTGTTTGGCCAGCAGGATTTCTGGGGTGTCAGGCATGACATGAATCGTGGTCTTGTCTTTGTTCCACGCTTCAGTGTACAAACGCTAAAAAAGAAATCAGGAGGAGATGATTAGGGTAATCATACCTGGTTAATTGAAATATTTGGTAACCAAACCAGGTTAATATTTCAATAATCAGGGAAAACATAGACCATACCAGATAAAAATACAGGAAATGTAACAGGGATAATCAGTTAGGTAATTAGGAAAAGATAGTATTAACAAAAGGAGGATTGACTTGTGGAAATGTAACAACACTTAAAAAACACCACACTGATTAAGGAGAAGGAATAAACAAATCAGCATTGCTGGTGCTTAGTTCATTCCCATTCCTGTCTCCAGGGTTGAGGCAGAGACCTGTGATGTGTCACCCAGAGGGATCAGGACTCACCTTGTTCATGGTGTCTGCGTTCTGCTTGGCCAACACCATCTCCAGGGAATCCGTGACACTGGTGAACTTGATGGTGTCCGGACGCTGGCGGTAAATCTTATCACTCAGGATCTCCCCTGCTCTCTTGGCTTTCTCAACTTCCAAGGAACCAATTGGGACCCAGCCAATGCCCCGCAGCCATTCCAGGTCAGACTTGTAGCAGTTCTGTTACAAAAAATAGAAAAAAAAATCACCCACACGGGTTATTCTATCAATAATAATAACAATAGTAATAATGCAACTTACATGGTGAATATTTCGCCAATAAGTAATCTCACTATCAAATTAACAGTTAATTTAAATAAATACAAAGCACAAGATAAAATATACAAAAAACAAGTGCATTTCCACTACATTAAGGGTGAAACCATTATCCAACTTCCACAGAATGGTAAATGATAGATAGCAATTCTGGAGTTAGGGGATTTCACTGAAGCATCAATTAGTTAACACATCCTGTTGGAGAGCTCAGTTTCAATCAGCCACAAAATTTAAAAATAAACCTCAAAATGTTGGTTCTATCACATCAGAACAAGATGACCTGGTACAATTATGTACAATAAACTCATTCCTCAGCAAAAATCAAATGCCAGAGAACTCACATCACTCTGAAGGTCGTAGGCTTGCTTGGCGTGGATCACGTCGTTCTGGTCGGGCAGACAGATCCACTGGTGCAGGTAGTGCCGGTAGTCAACGTCACTGACCAACCCTTGGCACTTCTTGGCCAACACAATTCCCAGCATGTCCACGGGGCTGCTGAACCTTGTCTTGTTAGCAAATCCATAGAGAAGTGAGAACAAAGCCTGCTCACCTCACTGGCAATCTCCCTGGAGGCTTTGGCAGACTGAATGGGAATGGCATCAAAACGCAAATCATAGCCCTTCTTCTTTGACTCCTCCAAGGCCAGTTTGTACATTTTCTGTGAGAAAAAAATTCACAATTCAGTTTCAAAAAACAAAATTGAAATCATTTAGGGAAAGCTAAGCAAAACTAGTTATTTCCACACCTTGCTGTATAAATTATTTCTAATTTATGGAGGATAATATATTTCAATAGCCCAATTAGATATCCAGGAGTCAATTTCTGGAACAACTCTGATTTCAGCATGGGAACAGACCATTTGTGAAAATAACAACCTGACAATGTTTTAATATTAACTAAAAGTCAGGGATGACAAAAGCATACTTGTCAGAAGTACAATTTAATTGTCTCAGATTTCAGTTGCACTCACCTCACTGTAGTTCACTCGGTTCTGTTTGGCCAGCAGGATTTCTGGGGTGTCAGGCATGACATGAATCGTGGTCTTGTCTTTGTTCCACGCTTCAGTGTACAAACGCTAAAAAAGAAATCAGGAGGAGATTATTAGGGTAATCATACCTGGTTAATTGAAATATTTGGTAACCAAACCAGGTTAATATTTCAATAATCAGGGAAAACATAGACCATACCAGATAAAAATACAGGAAATGTAACAGGGATAATCAGTTAGGTAATTAGGAAAAGATAGTATTAACAAAAGGAGGATTGACTTGTGGAAATGTAACAACACTTAAAAAACACCACACTGATTAAGGAGAAGGAATAAACAAATCAGCATTGCTGGTGCTTAGTTCATTCCCATTCCTGTCTCCAGGGCTGAGGCAGAGACCTGTGATGTGTCACCCAGAGGGATCAGGACTC